GGTTTCCGAGGCAGTATCTCTACAGAAGTAGATTGCCCAACCTTCCTTCTGAAGAGTGGCCAGTGGGTTTGAACTGCCAGCCTTCTGGTTAGTGGTCAAATGCCTTAGGCACTATGCCACCAGAGCTCCTTAGGTGGGTATTATGCTGTGGCATCTATAGAAAGAATAAATTTGAGACTGTTTTAAACTGAATGATGGAAGGAGATGAGAATTTGAGAAATACAGTAAATTAAACTAACTCTGTTTAAATTATGTCATTCCGTTAAACACTGAATATGCATTCAATATTTCCTAGATGCTGGAAAAGTATTTTTACAAATAAAGAATTCCATATGTGCTATAGCAGTGAATATACTTAATCCCCATGCTTCCTTTTCCAGGGTTCCTTTTATGTACTCGGCTGCTAACTGAAAATCAGCAGTTCGAACCCACCAGCCACTCTGTGGAAGAAAGATATAGCAGTCTATGTCCATGAGGATTACAGCCTTGGAAACCCTAGAGAGTAGTTCTCCTCTATTCTATAGAGTCTCTATGAGTTAGAATCAACTCGGTGGAAACAAGTTTTGTTGTTGTTACAGCAGTGAAAGCACTAAATAATTTTCTTAGGGATCCAAGTGTTGGCCCTGCCTTCTGGAACTGGGTCAGCAAAAGATATAATAATGTATCAGACACACAGAATATATGTGTGTCTATTGTAAGAGCAAAAAAAGTAAAAATGTTGAGTACCTTAAGCTTTCAAGACCGTATGTAGTTAGAGATTCACTTGTCCTGAGCCTCTCGACTATATTGCAGAGCCCTCAGGAATCCAATAACATACTTGCATTTAAATTGCTCACAAACATCTACAAACCACTCTAACATATACCTTTATCTCGAGGATTCAAACGCACATCCTAAATTTAACAGCACAGCTTCCTAATATCAGAATATTTATAATAAATATTTATAACTTTGAAGCATAACGTCTTCAAAAGTTTATACTGAGTAATTCTATTTGTTTTATGCATTGTATTCCTTAATCTTTCTTTTGTTTTAGAGAATTGAGGGCACAGTTGATGTTTCAGTTATTACCAATGGATTTCACGTGATAGCAAATGATGCTTTTAGTTATAATTGTTTACAGACTCCAGTGATAATTGATTTTAACCCCAAAGAACGATCAATACTAGGTAAGAATTCTTCAATAATATATCATTTAACATAGATACTATGTTAAGAGTTCTATGTTCATTTAACACAGAAACTATGCTTCAAAAGACTTTCTAACCAAACAAAACCCATTGCCAAAGAGTCGTATCCAACTCATAGCGACCCTTCCTTAGCTTTCGGGGGCAGTATCACCACGGAAATAAATTGCCCAATCTTCCTTCCAAGGAGTGGCTGGTGGGTTTGAATCGCCAGCCTTCTGGTTAGCAGTCAAATGCCTTAGGCACTATGCTACCAGATCTCCTAGTTTCCCCTGCAGTTCTGTTTCACAAAGTGAAACCAGTCACAGATTTTTTTTTTACCGTAATAGCTGTTGTCAGATACCGTCGAGTTGGCTGTGACTCATACATAGTGACCCTATGGGAAAACGGAACAAAGTGCTGCCCGGTCCTGCACCATCCTCACAATAATTGCAATACTAGAACCCATCTTTGCAGCCACTCTGTCAATCCATCTCATTGAGGGTCTTCTCCTCTTTCACTGACCCTCTACTTTACCAACCAGGATGTCCTTCTCCAGGGACTGGTCCCTTCTGACAGCATGGCAAGAGTACGTAAGACAAAGTCTGGCCATTCTCGCTTCTGAGGAATTTTCAGGTTGCACTTCTTCCAGGACAGAGTACCATGAATGGTCTATTAATTCATTTTGAACATGTCAAGTAAGGGGAGAAATGTTAAGTTTAGGGAAAAATAAGTGCTTTGCCATCCTGTTGTTTTCTTTGTGAAATGACTAAACAAGAATTTTATTTCTACCTGGCAGCCATCAGCTTTTTCATTTTTCCTTTTGCCCCTGAAAATGTTAGGATTTCTGAAATTTAATGAAATACCAGAGATGAGTGGCCTGTTTAATATGCACATTTCACACAATAATAAGTTGAAACATTTTCTAAAGTTTTTTTTTTTCTTTTAAAACAATAGGAGAAGTTAATTTAACAATTAAAGGCTATAACTTTGGAAATGAGTATACACAAAACCTGGTATATGTGGGAGGAAAAACCTGCCGGGTTCTTCATTGGAACTTCACAGATATTAGATGCCTTTTGCCCAGGTTGTCCCCTGGAAAACATGATGTCTATGTAGAAGTCAGAAACTGGGGTTTTGCATCAAAAAGGTATGTATGGTAACCATTTTAACGTGGAACTGAAGCCACTCCTGAAGCTTGGGCTATAAAATTAACACCTGTGAGGAATGTGCTTCTTTAAGCAATTAAGTTTATGGGACCAAGCAGTGAACATTTACTAAAAGCAAAGAGGAGAAGCCAAGGAGGGTCAGGGAAACTGGGTGGATGGAAATGGGGTTGAAGGTGTGGTGGAAATGGTGAGAGTGCTGACACATTGCTGGGACTGTAACCAATGTTATGGAACATTTTTTGCTATGTCATGGAACATCCAATTAGCTATGTTCACCTAAATACAATAAAATAGGTATGGTAAAGAACTAAAATCAAAGGAGTTGTGGACACATGGGGTTAATTGTATGGGAAGTGGAAAAGATATCATCATCAGCTTTCAATTCAGTATTTCAATTGCTTTCTTTGCTTTTCTGTATCTTCTTATTGTAAATGGTTTTGAAAATATCTCATAAAGTTCAGTGCTTAGTTTTGCAATCAATACCATTCAGATTAGGTTGTAAGACTCTCTGTGGAACTAGATTTATGTATATGTCATATGGTTTGTATTCATTCATGAAATACTCAGGAAGTTACTATGGGGGCAATGCTAGGTCCATAGTGGAGAACGAGAGGGTCCTATCTTCTGCTTTAATGTTGCCCACAATTCTGTCGAGGAGACAGACTTTAAACAAAATACCACATCAATAATTTAATTATAAAAGTGAGAAATATTATGAACAAGGGACACCAGATGATGTAAGAGTATATAATAGAGAGAGCTCTGGTAGCATAGTGGCTAAAGCACTTGACTGCTAACCAGATGGCTGGCGGTTCAAACCCACCAGCCACTCCTCGGAAGGAAGGTTAGGCAATTCTACTTCCGTAGTGATACTGCCTCGGAAACCCAAGGAGGGCCGACTCGACGGCAAACAACAACAACAAAAACAACAACAACAACAACTTATCCTGGGGGAAAAGGAACGGGTTCCCTGAAAAGGTGATAATTAAGCCAAGGTGTAAAGAATGTGTAGGAATTGGCTGGCTGAAGAAGAAGACAATAGTCTTCAGGTTTCCTTGAAACAAGTGCTTAATATTTCCTTCCCAGAACTTGTTTGTTAACTGATACAATTTTAGTTCTGGGGTGAGAAAGTTACTGATTGGAAACAATTTTAAAAAGAGAAAATAAATGTAGGCTTTAAAAAGAAAAGTCAGGAAAAGCTGGTATCAGAGTAGAAGGAGAAATGCTTGCAGTAAATCCTCTGAGAGATGGAGGAAGGCGACCATCGGGAAACAGAAGCCTCCGAACTACATACAGTTCCCTCTTAGATTGACAGAGTGGAGCCGAGAGGAGTTCAAGAAGGGATGTTGGCTTGGGCTTTGGCATGGTGACATAACAGGTGGGATGGGACTGGGCACCATAAAAATCTGTATTTGGGAGGCGGTTAGAGATACACCAATTCAGTTTTGCTGACGAAGTTAAAGTTCGCATAATGACTCACGTGAGTTGCTCTATCTCTCCCTAGTCATAGTGGCATCTGAGAGAAGTGCTTCTTAGCAGGCATGTTGTCTACAACAAAGTAAAATAAATTGAAAACCATCTTATAAATTAATTGCCTTGAACCTTTTATTACTTTTATAAAATATGTGGAATTCCATTGAGCTTTTTTTTAATATAGTATGCTGTCTTTATGTTCTACTCTAATGAATATGTGAAATATTTTTAAAGGATCTCACATGTTTCTTGTAACCTCCTTTCTTATAACCATATTTTTCTCATAATGTTTTAAGATCCTCCATTTCAAATTCCTCCTAGTGTAGTTGTTTACAAGGTTTTAAGAAATTTAATTTTCAGAGTTAGGAAGAAGCAGTTGTACATAAACTGTGCAATCAAATTGGGACCATGATAATTATCAGATTATCTAGTTGAAAAAATTAATATCTAGTTAAAAATTGATTACTTCCTCTTTCTGAAGAATTTATATCCTCATATGACTTTAGCAATATCAGCCTATAGAAAATTCAGTGAAACATCTATTTATTTGTCTTCTGCAGAGACAAGTTACATGTTTTTATACAGTATATTTTGGAAGTGACCAACATGTTTCCACAGAGAGGGTCCTTATATGGTGGAACTGAAATCACTGTAATGGGTTTTGGATTCAGCACTATACCAGCTGAGAACACTGTGCTTTTAGGTAAGAGCTTCAGTCTCACAGAAATGCTATGTCATTATTTTTCTCAGCTCAATTGGTATACTATAGATACATTGTGAGTGAGTACACAAATACTCTCAATCATTGAAGTTTTATTTTTATTTTAATATGTAAATGGTTGAGTGTATTTTTTTAAGATTGTAGGGAGAATTGGAATACTCTTTTGATTCCAATCAATAGGTATTATGTATTTAGTGTATATAGAACGCCTGGGAAAAAAGGAAAGGGGGTTCTTTGTTCTGACAGTAATCAGTACTTGAGCATGATTATTATCAGAAAAAATACAGAAAGCATAAGTTTTGCTGGACTTTGGTTTATTAATTACACTTCATCTCAATGGTTCACAAAAATGTGTGAGAAGAAATATTTTTTTGTCTTTATTCTTTCTAGGCTCTTTTCCTTGCAATGTGATATCATCTTCAGACAATGTCATAAAATGTATTCTTCATTCAACAGGAAATGTATTCAGGGTAACTAACAATGGGAAAGATCCAGGTATCAATCAATATTTATAAATTTTAATTTATGGAGATAATTTTTTAAAAATTTATTTTATGCTCATTCTTCAAAGCAAAGTATTTAAAGAATGTGTATTATTATTTCTTTCTACAATTGGTCAAGAGTAACTCTCTGACATAGGGATCGTATATAGAGTGAATCAGTGGTAGACTTGAGTCTGCAGGGCTAGATAAATCCTCCAGTTTCCAAGTTCAGGAATTGCCATTTGGTTTTGCTGCAGTACAGAAGCTCCTGAATTATGTAGTTGTTTACAAGTCATGAGTTTCTGAATGAATATTCAAGTTGAAATTATAAGATTTTGCATATCCCTTTGTCCAAAATTCTTGTGTTCACAGAATTGACCTTAGCTTTTAAAAATATTTCATGTTATATTTCTGGCCAAAATTGTTTATTAATTTTCTGGTTTAGTTTTTTTTTTTTTTAATTGTCATTTGATCATCAGTATTACAGTTTTATGACTTATTTTTTCCTTAGCTTCTCATTATCTTACTTTGTATTATTTCTGCTAGGTATTTAAATTATGTACATAGTGAAGTTTTATGGAATTAATTAGCAGTTGCTTTCATTAATGGTTGTATCAAAAACAATGCATTTTCAAGTTAATTATTGAGAAATGTTCCTTTTTACTTTTTAAATATGACTCAATTCTTGCTTTCAGAACATGGATTAGGTTATGCCTGGTCCCCCTCAGTCTTAAATGTGTCCGTGGGTGACACAGTGACATGGCGTTGGCAAGCACATCCATTTCTTAGGGGAATAGGATATAGAGTTTTCTCTGTATCCAGTCCTGGAAGTGTAATTTATGATGGCAAAGGATTTACAAGCAGAAGGCAAAAATCTGCATTCGGTATGATTCTATTTTGTTGAATTTTGTGTCACATCTCTAGTTCCTAGATGAAATAAAAAGCAATTTTTTAGACTTAAAATAGTTTCACATAAAGTATATGTGTGTGTGTATATATATATATATATATATATATACATATACACACACACACACACACACATAAAGTGGTTTACTAGGTATTTTGTTGCTGAAGTTATAAATAAACATAAGCAAGGTATTTTATACATATTAGAGTTCTGAATTAGAAATATCTTTATTGATGCTACAATAATCAATTGAAAAAATATATGGAAATAAAAATACAATGAAAACTGTAATATGTTTGAACCATACCAACATGATATTAAACTATTAAATTTTGTTCATTGAAATGAGTTTTAAAATCAGTATTTCTACTGGGTTAGTTCTGTGTAAATGTGCCTTGTAGACTGCCTTTTTTGTTCTGTACATACAACAGTTCGAACTTTTTGCTCTTAAACAAAAATTACGTATTGTTTATTTTTAATTCCATGTTGAATTTTTTTTTTTTACCTTTGTTAAATTATGCCAGATTTGACCTGGTTTTCTCCAGAATGAATGCTGGTTCTCGTCTTCCTGGCATGTGATTTCATTATACACGATAGCTCTTTGATAGCCTGTGAGTCATCTCCTTTCTGCTTGCTGCTGAAGTAATCACACTAATGAAAAATAAGAAACCTGCCATTTAAATGTTCATTTAAACGATCCTTTCAAGTTGTTGCACCCTTTTCAAAGCCTCGTTAATTGCTTGTATTTATTATGTACAATCTTATTTTATGACAGGTTCATTTTCTTACCAATTTACATCCCCTGGAATCCATTATTACAGTAGCGGGTGTGTTGATGATGCTTGCTCCATTTTTCTCCAAGGAGTCATTAATGTGAAACCAGCTGAAACCAGGCACATTCCCCTGCACCTGTTTGTGGGTAACACTGAAGCCACATATGCTCAAGGTTAGATGGTCAAAGATGGATGCTCTGATACTGAGGTGACCCAGGGTTTACGAGACCTTTTTAGGACAGGAGGTAGATGATGGACCACATGACCTTAAATAAGTCTTGACTGCTCTGAGTTTGGATTTTGTTCTATAATTTAAATTAAGGGTCACATAACTATTGTCCTGCCAGTGTTCTATAGTCTTTGTGTGCATCAGATGAGATGTAATGTGAAAGTGTACTGATACTGTGTACGTATCAAAATATATTAAAATGTAAGGTGTTGTTATTGAGTTGCCCCTCCCATGGATTCTGGCATTAGACAAACTGAAAAATTTTAGATTTATTCTTCTCTCTTTACTGTACTATTTTCATCCAAGTCTTTAAGACCTTCCTACTTTGTGGCACCCCTTTTGTCATTTAAAAGAGAGAGAGAGAGAGAGAGAGAGAGAGAGATTTACCAGAATTTAAACTCCATCATCAAAATGAAGCATAATGCAATCTGAAAACATCTTCTGTTTTAGAATGTTATCCATAACTTACAGACAGTTCTTTTGTCTAAAGCAGGGCTTGAGAACTTGCACTTGGGAAGCTCTGTGGCAGACTGCCTAGCAACAGAACCCCCGTGCAGTCTGAACAATACCAGAGTTGACAACTCAAGTAGATTGCTCTTTGAGCTTTCAAGTTGTTTTTCACCATCTATAAACAGCATTAGTCCATCCATTGGAACAGTAAATGAATTGATAACAATTACTGGACATGGCTTCAGTAATCGCACATGTGCTAATAAGGTAAGGATATAAAAAAAGTTTTCATTTTTAGTTCTATATAGTCATTAATAGGAAGATGTTTTGACCAAAACCTCATAAATTATTATTTTTTTAAAATAGCTTTATTGATATATTGGGAGCTCTGGTGGCGTAGTGCCTAAGGCATTTGACTGCTAACCAGAAAGCTGGTGGTTCAAACCTACCAGCCACTCCTCAGAAGGAAGATTGGGCAATCTACTTCCATAGTGATACCCCCTCAGGAACTCAAGGAGGGGTTGTTACGAGTCGGATGCGACTCAACAGCAGTGAGTTTGGTTTTTTGGTTTTATTGATATATAAAGGAGTCCTGGTAGTTAAAACTCTTGGCTGCTAAGCGAAAGGTCAGTGGTTTGAACCCACCCACCCCATGAGAAAAAGATGTGGCAGTCTGCTTCAGTAAAGATTACAGCCTTGGAAACTCTATGGGGCAGTTCTACTCTATCCTCCAAGGTCAGTATGAGTCAGAATCAACTACATGGCAGTGGGTTACTCATATATAGTTCACATGCGACACGATTACCCATTGAAAGCATACAATTCAATGGCTTTTAGTACGTGCATAGCTCAGATAGTAGCGTAGTGCCTAAAGCAGTTGACTGCTAACCAGAAGGCTGGCGGCTCAAACCCATTAGCTACTACTCAGAAGGAAGATGGGGCAATCTACTTCCGTAGTGATACTGCTTCAGAAACCCAAGGAGGGGTCGCTATGAGTCAGGTCTAACTTGACAGCACATAACAACAACAACAACAGCTCAGATAAATTGTAGGTTCAGTTCCAGACTACTACATAAAGCAAATATCACAATAAGCAAGTCAGATTAATTGTTTGGTTATCCAATACATATAAAAGTTATGTTTACACTACACCGTAGTCTGTTAAGTGTACACTAGCATTATGAGAACGTTTGAAATATTATGAGTTTTACCAAAATGTGACACAGAGGCATGAAGTGAATACATGGTATTGGAAAAATGGCTCCAACAGACTTATTTGATGCAGGGTTGCACCAAACTCTAATTTGTTTAAAAAATGTATACATATGTATAAAGTGCAATAAAATGGGGTATGCCTGATTAGTCACAGAGTTGTGCATCCATTACCACAATCAATCTTACATCATTTTTCTTGCCCTCAAACAAACCCCCATGCCCCTTAACTATCACCCCCAAATCCCCTATTTCCCCAGCCCTGGGCAACCACTAAGCTTTCTGTTTCTGTAGATTTGCCTGTTATGGACATTTCATATAAGGGGAATCATACAATATGTGGTCCTTTGTGACTGCCTGCTTTAACTTACCATAACGGTTTCAAGGTTCATCCATGATATGGTATATATCAATACTTAATTTATTTTTACGGCCAAATGATATTCCATTTATGAATATGCTGCATTTTGTTTATCAGGTAATGGACATTTGGGTTGTTTCCCCTTTTTGACTATTATGAATAATGATGCTATGAATATTCATATACAAACATAATTTAATTTTAAAGTTAATCCAAGATGTGCTTTAATCAACCCTCTAAATTAATTTTGTGAATAACCATTTGAACATTATTAGATTTTTTTAAAATGTTAGTTAAATGTTATACAAGATTTAAGTTCACACTAGGATAATACATTGAATTGATTTACCTCATATTCATTTTACTTCTAGGTTACAATTGGTAGCTATCCCTGTGTTGTAGAAGAAAGTAGTGAAAATTCCGTTAAGTGTCATATTGACCCTCAAAACTCAATGGATGTTGGCATCAGGGAAATTGTCACGTTAACTGTCCATAACCTGGGCACTGCTATCAGCACACTGCCCAGTGAATTTGATAGGCGATTTGTACTTCTGCCGAACATGGACACAGTGTTGCCGCAGGCAGGATCAACTTCAGGAATGACAAGAATGACCATAAAAGGCTCTGGATTTGCAGCTTCTCCTGCTAATGTTGACGTCCTTCTGGGTCATTTACCATGTAAAGTTCTATCAGTGAATTATACGGACATTGAATGTGAAACACCCACTGCCCCTCAACAATTTGTGAATGTAAATCTTCTAATACATGGTGTGTCTGCCCAGTGCCACGGGAACTGCAGCTTTTCCTATTTAGACAGCCTCACACCTATTATAACAAGAATCATCCCCAGTAGTATCAGTGGATTTGTAGAAGTTCTTATTCAAGGAGAAGGCTTTGGGACGATCTTGGAGGACATTGCTGTTTTCACGGGGAGTCAACAGTTCACAGCAATGGATGTTAATGAGAATAACATCACTGTTCTTGTGACTCCTCTCCCAGCTGGACTTCATTCTCTTAGTGTTGTGGTGGGAGCCAAAGGCTTGGCTCTGGGAAACCTTTCTGTCAGCAGCCCTGCAGAAGCATCTGTCTCACCAACTTCTGGAAGCATCGGAGGAGGAACAGTTTTGGTGATCACTGGAAATGGTTTTTATCCAGGCAAAACCATAGTCATCGTTGGAGATAACCCTTGCGAAATTATTTCTGTCAACTCCAGTGAAGTCTACTGCTCTACCCCAGCAGGGGAAGCTGCAACGGTTGATGTAAAGATCTTTGTTAGTGCAGTAGCTTACCCGCCTCTGTCATATACATATGCCCTGGAGGATACTCCAGTTCTTGGAACAATTGTCCCAAGTAGAGGTACTCTATTACCTACCTGTGTATTGCCTTGACATCTATTAACAGTAATATTTGCAGGGAGTGCTGGTAGTGTAGTGCCTAACGCAATTGACTGCTAACCAGAAGGTTGGCAGTTCAAACCCACCAGCCACTCCTCAGGAGGAAGATTGGGCAATCTACTTCTGTAGAAATACCACCTCAGAAATCCAAGGAGGGGTGGCTTAGTAGTATTGAATTAGAATAATGTTCATAAATAATTAAGATGTATTTTTAGACAATCCCATTTCACCCAATTAATTTATGTGCTTTGAGTTCTGCCATCTCTATTTTGTGATTATTTTTTCACATTCTTTGGATAAAATTTTTAGTCAAATTCCCAGGACCAAAATTCCCATCAACTTCACCTAAATTTCAGCATCAGGAAAATATATATATGAATGTATATGAATTAAGTTGATCATCAATTTATGTCATATATATAGGAGCTCTGGTAGCATAGTGGCTAAAGCACTTGATTGCTAACCAGAAGGCTGGCGGTTCAAACCCACCAGCCACTCCTCGGAAGGAAGGTTGGGCAATCCTACTTCCGTAGTGATACTGCCTCGGAAACCCAAGGAGGGGTCGCTATGAGTCGGGGCCGACTCGATGGCACATAACAACAACAACAATGTAGATACAAGGAACTCTGGTAGCGTCGTGCCTAAGGCACTTGACTGCTAATCAGAAGGCTGGCGGTTCAAACCCACCGGCCACTCCTCGGAAGGAAGATGGGGCAATCTACTTCCATAGTGACACTGCCTCGGAAAAAACAACAACAACAATGTAGATACAACACAAGAAACATATTAAAACTCACATGTAATTGACCTTATTAATATTGAGAATTTATCAGAGTATTATATTTCCATGAAACTCAAATTGACTGATTATTATCTTATTAATACAACAGACTTTTAAGGAGATAATTGAACACTGGAAGACAGAAAATATTGTAAAATAAGATTTACTTATTTTGTAAGCTGAAAACATATCAAGGTATCTTCCTTGTTCTTTTATCATTATGCTGTGCTGTTTCTGATCATCTTTAAGTTATTGGAATGCTTATCATCTATGTAATGAATTCTTGACAAGGAACTGCAGTGTAAGGAATTTACATAAATGTAGTCAATCCACAAAAGAGTTGCAACATAAAGTACCAAAATTAAAAACAGTAAGCCCTATCCTTAAAATAAGCTCCCCACACAAACACACCTAGTTCAGACAGTTATACTTAAGTTTAGACCTTGTCTCTTTTCTGCTCCATACCTTTCTAGTACCCTACGTTAGTAATTAACAGCCCATAGAATTGAGAAAATAAATAAATAGATACATCTTTAAATGTTTGCATACATATAGGGATTTAGATATATTTATACTGATTTTTCTTTCTTTCTTTCTTTTAGGTCCACCAGGAACTGAAATTCAAATCACTGGATTTAATTTTGGTGTTGATATCTTGGAAGTTTCAGTGATGATCGATAACATTCAGTGTAATGTCACCATGGTCAATGATAGTGTTTTGCACTGCATCGTTGGGGATCATGCTGGTGGCACTTTTCCTGTTACAATGCACCATAAGACAAAAGGCTCTGCTGTATCCACAGTTTTATTTGAATACCCACTTGCGATTCAAAATATTCATCCAAGCCAAGGTAGTCAGGAATGGTCAGGAACCTACACATCTTTTATCTCATTCAACATTTAATTGAATATTTAGCTCATGTGGGGGGAAAATGTGTTCTTTAAATATAGCTAACATTTGTAGTTGTATATAACATATTTCAAAATAGTTTTCTTTGTACACAAATAAATAAGCATGCAAGGGCATCAATTAATCATTCTGAAGTATTAATTTACTGCCTTATATTTCTCTTAGTGATGTATAATTTATTTAAAATTTAGCTCCACTTAAAATACCCAGGTTATATGTGAAAGTGTTTAAAAATTATATTTAGACATCATTATTATGTAACATAAATAAGGTTTTTTCTATTTGAAAGTTATGTTAATGTTTAGAAAATCTTAGGAAAAAAAAAACTAATGTATCTCTTAACTAACATTGAAATTTTACATTTATATTTTGACTCCTATAAAATTCTTTGTGACATCTCTTCAAATGAAATGTGAATTCTAGATGTAAGTTAAATAGATGAGCAATTGTGACATTTATTGAATGTTGGTTTTAAAATAGTACAGTCAAAAGAGATTCTATTCTATAAATGTTGTTGTTGTGTGCTGTCAAGTCAGCCCCGACTCATAGTGACCCCTCCTTGGGTTTCCTAGGCAGTATCACTACGGAAGTAGATTGCCCCATCTTCCTTCCGAGGAATGGCTGGTGGGTTTGAACCGCCAGCCTTCTGGTTAGCAGTCAAGTGCCTGAGCCACTATGCTACCAGAGCTCCTATTCTATAAATAGTATATGTGTAATATAAATATTTTATATTATAATTCAACACAACAAAGATACTATATTGTATATATATTTTTTCATTTTAAGAATCTTTTTATTTAATGTAACTTTCAGGTTTTAAAATGAAGTTAAGCAAATATGTATGCAGAGGATATTTTGTTTAATTAGCTTTGTTTTCTGCTTTTGTTTGTCTTCATTAGGGAGCTTTGGCGGTGGTCAAACCATGACTGTGACAGGCACTGGGTTCAATCCACAAAATTCAACTGTATTAGTATGTGACTCAGAATGTACAATTGACAGGCTTAGATCTAATTACACAAACTTATTATGTAAAATTCCACCTAATAATGGTAAGTTTTCAGAAAGAAGTATGACACTCTGTGAGAAATGGTTAATTTTATAAAGATCAAATCTGAATTTCTTTTCTCAAGTTTTTAGTTTCTTTGGGGCAACTGAATCTCTTTATCCTGATTTTAAGTAATTTATCCAGAACTTTGTTTTCTAAGTTTATATGTCTTTCATATTAATAAAATTTGAGTTAGACTGAATTGCTTATAATAGATTTCACTTTTTCAGTTTATCCTGTAAACTGAAGTTTATTGAGCATGTCAATCAGACAAAATGTTTTTATCCTATTGGTGTACTAGATTGTCCTTAAAGGCGCAACAGTGTAATGGTTAATAGTGTGGAGTCTGGTAGTCAGTACATTGCCAAGACTGTAAACCTAGCTATGTTTTTCGGCAATTGATTCAACTTATTTGGACTTCAGTTTCCTGATCTGTAAAGTGAAGATAATCACAGTGGCCTACTTTGTGGGATTGTTGTGAGGTTAATAAGTTAATATATGTAAGGTGGATAGAATGATATCTGATACGTGATACTGCTTTCTCTCTACTTTTTTAAACAATAGTATATATTTTTTCAAAAAATTAACCTTTATATGATTGGGCTTAATTTTTCATTTGAACAATAGATTTTGTATCCTGATTTAAAATGGAGCAGTGCTGCCAAGATTTGTGGAGGACTTTAGGTTGTCTGTTTAACACTGGCTGTACTTCTTATTTTTAAACTTTTGCATCTGTTTCTACATGTTTTGTTTTCATTTTTTGGGGGAAAGGGGGTCTCTTGTTTTGAGCTGTCACTTCTGGCTGTTGTCAACGTGCTTGACTTTAACAGTCCTTCCTGCTCTAATTTGTGGCATTGGATCCTCTGAGCCTGGGAAACTGAGCCGGCAGGTTTGTAGAATTATCTACAGTAAAGGCTCCAAATGAAAGTCTAAGATTTTTACTCTTTGATAATGCACATGAACTTTGCGATGTTTTCAGTTATTACACGAGATCTGTCTATATTGAGAAGGGATTTTTGGAAAAGAAAGATATACTTGAAAAGTGTTGCAAGTTTGGAGAAGAGCATAGGCCTGATGGTGGGACTGTGAAGCGGTTTTCCATTTGATCCTCTTCTCATCAGGCAGGGGACCTGAGCAAGCCTGTGAAGTAAGTGTGGTCAATGGGAAGGATTTGTCACAGTCCACGACTCCGTTTACATACAATGTGTCACTGACTCCACTCATCACCGAAATAGCTCCCAAGAAGGGCAGTACAGCAGGGGGCACCAGACTTACAGTCATGGGATCAGGATTCAGGTATTGTCTATACATGCACACATGTCGATGCTTATGTCCAGAGTCAAGCCATTTCTCCTTTCTTTTGTGCCAGATATTATTTAAATATAGTCATGTCATGTGAACCTATCTGCTACTAAGTTATATTTGGGGCATGTAACAGTACTAATAGTTAATATTTATTGAGTATTTACTGTGCAGGCACCTTTATACCCACAGAATCTTTCTGTGTTACCTTATATTTTTTAGCCCAACTGAATGGGCATCACAAGTTTAAATCAGCTTCATGTTATGCTTTCCCCAGCATCTCATCTCCAACTGTGATCTGCTTCCTTGGGTCAATGAAACATCTTTTCAGGCATCATTCCATTGTAATTAGTCAGGTTCCTTGTTTGCATACTCATTGTTTGGCTAAATGTATGTACTGTGCTATCATAATTTTTCCAAGTTAATAAGACTGACTTCAAAACACCACATGATTAAACCATAAAAGGAAATTTTAATTATCAAGTACTTAAAATTACCTTGGAGCTGCATTTTTACGTTGGAGGTTAAGTTCCAAGGTCTGTGAATGTGGTGAAAATTATCACATAGACAAAGTAATTCTTGAAAGTCTTTTAAAGACCAAGAAAGCATCTCTCAATAAATTGAACTCAGGCAATTTTTCCTCCAACACTGGGACATCTTGTTATTTATTTCACTGAATATTCTTTCATTAAACAAGTACTTGTTAGGCACCTGCTATGTACTAGGAGTTCTGTGTGATGGAGTACACCAATTTAAAAAAACAAAAAAAAACCGCCCTTGTGATGCTTACATTTGAGTGGAAGGTGAAAAACATGAAATAAAGAAAATATATTTTAAGAAAAATTGTGGTATATACAGTAAAGAAAAAAAAGAAAGCAAGGCAAAGAATGCTGAGTGGGGGGAAGAATTGTAGTTTAAAAAGGAGACTTTTAGGCAGAGAACTGATGAAAGGGCAGAGAGACCATGATGCATGATTATCAGGAAAAAGGTGGTCCTGGCAGAGGGATCAGCTAGTGCGAAGGAACTGAGGCAAGTCCAAGGTTGTGATGTTCTAAGAATGGCAACACAGCCAGTGTGGCTGGAGAGTATGAGGGACAAGAAGGATGTCAGGATATGGAGATGGAAAGTTGAGGCCAGATGGTAGAGGGTCTTACAGGCCATTGTAAATATTGGTTTCTACTCTGTATGATGAGATCATCTCAGGGGAAAGCAAAGGGGTGATATGACCTCACATATATTCTTAAAGTTCTGCTTTGTTGAGAATAGACTCTTTGGAGGCAATTATAGAAGCACTGAGACCATTTAGGAGATTATAGCAATAATCTGGATGAAAGATCATGGTGACTTGAACAAGGGTAGTGGCAATGGAGGTGTTAGGAAGGTGGAAAGCATGTTTGAATATAGAGCCAACAAGAGTTGCTGATTGATTGGATGTGGCAATGAAAGAGAGACAGAGACAGAGACAGAGAGAGATCAAGGATGCCAAGATCTTTGACTTGAGACAAAGGATTGAGTTCTCATTTATGATGGTGGGAAAGATCGTGAGGGGGCAGTTTTGGAGGAGAATCAGGAAAGGCTGCTATATTACATAGATCTGGAGTTCATACTGGAGATCTTAATTTGGAACCATGAGATGAGATGAGATAGAGAAGAGTTCTAAAGACCAAGCTGGGAGAACTCAACATTTAGACATTGAGATGATAAACTAGCAAAGCTGTCCAAGAAGGAATAGTCAGTGAGGTAGATGAAGCACCAAATAAAGTGGTCTTGTGTGTAGGGATATTTTGTAAGAAAAACATGCGTACAGGTAAAATTTTGAGTGGCAGTCAGCACTGAGAGATTGAGAAGCACTATTGACAAGCATGTGAGAATGGACACATTCTCATTGAGTACCATGTTGAACTGCTTGGCCTGAGACTTTTCAATTATTGTTTTTTCTCTTTTCTCTTTTTTTTTTATGATTAGCATGTTGAATCTCCCCAAGTTAAATGCTCACATGATAAGACTGTATGGTTTTGGTCTTCCCACTATATGGGGTTTTTATATATAAACTGGGCTTTTGAAATCACAGCATTTTTCTAAAAGGAAAAGGAAAAAAAATAGTGCCTTTAGTCTGGTTCCATTTGTACCCCACTTCAAGAAGCTGCACGGTCTTGTTGTTGTTGTTGTTGTGTGCCATCGAGTTGGACCCGACTCATAGCAACCCCTCCTTAGGTTTCTGAGGCGGCGGTGTCGCTGCGGAAGTAGATTGCCCAACCTTCCTTTTGAGGAGTGGCTGGTGGGTTTGAACCACCAGCCTTCTGGTGAGCAGTCAAGTGCCTTTAGGTACTACACTACCAGAGTCTTGTTGTGGTTGTTGTTGTTTGCCGTCAAGTCGGCCCCGACTCATAGCGACCCCCTCCTTGGGTTTCTGAGGCAGTATCACTACGGAAATAGGATTGCCCAACCTTCCTTCCGAGGAGTGGATGGTGGGTTTGAACCGCCAGCCTTCTGGTGAGCAGTCAAGTGCCTTAGGCACTATGCTACCAGAGCTCCTACCAGAGTCTTAGCAGTTGCCAAAACGTTTGTTATCAAGGGGAAGAAAAATAATGCCCCCCTCAATTCTATCAAAAGATATAAGAAAACTATTTCTATCTTTTCTGGGTAATCTCATTGTCCCCTTCCTTTTTAGCATAGCATTCAATAAGCCATGTCTTGTGCTGGACTCACGGGCAATACTCTTCCGGTTAATTTTAAACAACCTCATTTCTGTTTTGCTCTAAAAACAGATCTGACCCAGAGTAGATGAGTAATAAAAACTTCCAAGTACATGAATAATTGAAAATACACTTTGCTAGGGAAAATGTCCAAAAGCCATAGTAAATTCAGAATCATGAAAAGGAAGGAACTGAAGTAACTTTACTGCTTCTTCAGTATTAAGACACCAACATAAAATGGTTACCATCATCTTTCAGAGTGCTTTTCAAGGTCTCTGTCATTAAATGTCTTACCTGCTGTATTTTATTTTCTCTTTAGTGTGACTGAATTATAATCAAAATGGATAGAGTTCAACCACTTAGCATTTCTTCCTTTCTTTTGCTGACAAGTAACACTTAACAAACTCATACAGCAAAATCATGGTGATGCTAGTGAAACACACACTTAGATAACTAAAGCCCCAAATAGTCAATGGACATCATTTTATCAAATAATTTTGTATGGTTTCTGCAATGAAATATTTTAACCAAGAAGCTAGAATTGTAGTAGTTAAAATTTCTAGGTTACATAAATACAAACTTCTAGAGGGAAAGAAGATGAATAAAAAAAAAAAAAAAAATTATCCTGTGCCCTGGTTTCTTAATCTATACTTTCTTGCAACAAGTATTTTGAAGTACAACACTGCTTGTTTGCATTTTATGGATCATAGAGGAAGATAATTATTTTTACAGTAACATATGAATAAAGGATTGATGATGTGACCTAGAAACTTGAAAGTACAAATGTTTGTTTTTTCCCTTTTCCCTTACAGTGAAGATATGCAGGATGTTCATGTCACCATAGCTGAAGCCCAGTGTGATGTTGTGTATTCCAACAACACACACATCATCTGCATGACAAACGCCCATGCTCCTTCAGAATGGGCTCCAGTGCATGTCAACATCAGAAGTACCGGCATGGCCAAACGGGTAACAGTGCTGTGGGTATAGTAATCACAGAAAGATTAACATTATGGGAGGTGAGGTAATTTGCAATGGATTTTGTCTTTTTTACTTAAAAAAAAAACAAAAGAAAAGAAAACCCACTGCCATCAAGTCAACTCTGACCTACTGACCCTATGGGACAGAGTAGAGCTGCCTCGTAGGGTTTCTAAGCTGTTAATCACTGCAGAAGCAGACAGTCACGTTTTTCTCCCATGGAGTGGCAGGTGGGTTCGAACTGCTGACCTTTTTTGTTAGCAGCTGAGTGCTTAATCATTGTGCTACATGGCTTATTTTTTAGCACCTCTAATAAAAAACTGAGATATGATGCCAATAAATTTAAAGTAGCTATGGTTTTGTTGTTTATTACTATAACATTTTATTATTTTAGTTGATTATTGTTCTGGGTTTTGGCATAATGAGCAATGCATTTTTTTTTTTTTAGATCTTGAATTAAACATAAAGGAAGCTATAATATATTTAAAATAGGTTATATTTTATTAATTATTGCCAAAATTGTTTATCAGTTCAGATTTCTTTTTTGGAGAAATTGAGTAAAGTATTCTAGAACTTTTATGTGTTAAAGTCCCTGCTGTT